AGCCACATCCCCCAGGAAACAGTCCTCCATAAAATGCGCTGCACACTAGGGCTGGGCGATATGTCAAAAATATTGTATCGATAATCGCCTTTAAAAATATCATGATATCCGATAATATCGTCTACATAAGCCCCACCTCCACCACGTCCCGTCCCGCCCCGCCGGGATAACATTGCCGACATGCACCATAAACACACACCATGTTCAGTTTGGTCTTAATTATTGCCACAAAGTTTGGTTTTACTTTTCTTAGTTTGGGCTTAAACTAACAGAAAACATGAGCTTTGCTGTTATTTTGGTGTTGCTAATAATTTCCACTCTGTTCTTATCAAATTTGTGTTTGAAATGAATTTCGTTTTGTGAGGAGAACTGTTGAGGAAAAATAATAGAACCCAATTTTAAGTTCATCATGGTGAAGTTGGACATTTTGGCAGTGATTGCAAGAATGAAAAACGCATGTTGAGGTCATATAGTAATGTCTTGAATAAAATATGCCTATTTTCCGATGTTTCTACAAAATAAAATTCAGTGTTGGGCTGCCGAATCTCCGAACACGTGCATGTTGAGGGGCGAGCTAAGATATAGTACTATAATGTCTTCAGCCGTTTGTAAATGAATTAAGAATTTATAGTGCTATATATCAGCTTAATTAAACAATTATATTGTATACAAGGTATAAAAAATCTGTAAAAATATTGCACTGAAATGTGCGCTGATAGTGCATATTTTAATTCTACCAGTCATGTTTGTGGTTTTTCATCATTATGCAGTCGGTTTAAATAAATATTCAGAAACACATGGAGTGCTACTTTTTGTCTTTTTTGTGTTTAACTTTTATTAAACTGCAGATCAAAATAGAACAGGCCTATACCCTAAATAAGGATAAATTATATTGGAACGCATCTTCAAAATAATCGCATACACAGATGCACGTTGCCATTACAGAAGTCAGCGCCAAACAACAGGCAAATAAAATATAAACTGAGGTTACAAAAGTGATTCAGTCAAGATCAGTGAGGGATTTTCTTTTCTTTCGTTCTTTAAATTAACATCAATGGCTGGCGGCAGCGGCTGCTGTCAATGCACGGATCCAATACACCCTTTTTTTGTTGTTTCTCAACTCTTTACGTTCACTTAAGACATAACCGATTGTATTTATGGGATATTTTGATATAATTCTGTGTTTATTTGTCCTTTTGAATGTGTAAGAATGCGAGAAAGAGAGCTCAGTCCAGTGTTCGCTTATATAAGAGGCGGCTTTTGTGCGTGTGCAGCACAGAAAACAGCGCGCGAGTACAGAAGTGAGTTCCATTTCGTCTTCTTGCAGTTTAATCTTTTGAAATCACAATAAAAGCGCATACAGAAATCGAGAAGCAGAAACAAAATGTATAATTTTATAACAAGTAATTTGATTCCTTATGCATCTGATCTGATTTCCGAAATTGGAATAGCTTTTCGATGCCCAACCCTCCTACTAAATTATTTCATTCTCGCATGCAAAAAGACCTGTATGGTGACTATGGGGCTATGTAAAATATTTTTTACAACTTACTAGGTTTATAATTTGTCATTTTTTCCCGATAATGTCGATAATCGTTTGTTACCTGACTGTTGACATCGACATCGCGATACTTACGAGACATCGTCGATATACGATAATATAGTCATATCGCCCAGCCCTACTGCACACACTCGAATATTTGGGTTGAACTGTTCTGGAACAGTGTTGTAAATACAACTTAACCACTGATTTCTAGTTGTGTCCTCTTTTGGAAGGCCAAACAAAGTAGTTTCGCTTTCACAACAAAACACACAGCATCTCCACAACATGGTGGCAGCAACAATACTTCAGCGAGACTCAGTTACGCCTTCTTTCTTTGCGTGAACATTTGGGCGTGCAATGCAAATCTTCCCAAACAGTGACGTAGACATGTAGGCATGAGGCGTGGATGAGTCTTAACTTTTATAAAGAATATCTCTTTGGGTTTGAGACTTTAATCTTTGCACCTTTAGGGATCTTATCTATGCACAAACAGCTTGTAACACTCCAAAGAGAAAGGAAAACTTGAAATCGCATCATATGCTTTAACCCTCATGTTGTGTTCTGGTCGTTTTGACCCAGAGAGGAATTTCATTTTGTCAAAAAAGCTAAATAATTGGACTAAAACGTACTAATTTTCTTCAAAATTATCATGGTTAACGTTTTGGGATTTTTTCCCCCACCATGTTACACTTGTGATGTTCCAGTCAAAAATGACCAGCCTACAAATAATTGCTTAGAAATTTCTCGCTATGCTAGATTACTACTAAATATTGGACTCAAATCTTTTTATCAATGGGATTTTTTCCCCCCCATGTTACACTTGTGATGTTCCCAGTCAAAAATGACCAGCCTACAAATAATTGCTTAGAAATTTCTCGCTATGCTAGATTACTACTAAATATTGGACTCAAATCTTTTTATCAACCTCTTTTCTGTCTGTTAGCACAGGTTTTGGGCCACAGAGGAGAAACAATAAGGTACAGTATGTGAAAATGTGTTTTTTTAACTTTAAACCGCACAAACACATTTCATTACACCAAATACACAAAATAAATGTTCTTTTTAGCAGCATCATATGACCCCTTTAAAAGGCAGGTCATTGACCATGAACATCAAATTCGATAAATGTCTTTTACATAGAACAAGTGTTAAAAATCTGCAAATCAGGCCATTTTTACAGCTCTAATGCATACCTGCAAGCGTGTACTTGGATGCTGGATCTGAGGGGCGAGAGGAAATGGGTCCATCCCAAAAGACCCAAAGAGACTCCTCATCTGTTGCCTGTGTGCAGCAAACGGATCCCTGTCACAACATAACTTGCAGTTATAGTATACATTTGTAAAATGTATTTTGAAACAATTTATTTTAAAGCACAAATTAATTATTAGGTTATCCTCAAACACTCAAATACATGTTTTCATTTTGAAAGTGCTAATACTCACATCATGTACGGGCTGTCATCCACATCATTCAAATAACGAAACATTGTTGTTGTTTTTCTTTCTTGGTTGGTTGAACTTGCACCAGTAAATAAACTTCCGTTTCTTTAATCAAAATCCAACACAACAGCAGCTCAGGAGCTCTTAATTGGCCAACCAATCATCAAGTTCCCTTTGCCAGATATGCAAAACAGTCTCAACTGGAGAATTATACAATTCGGCCTACCTAATCACAATACAAACCACCAATTTACCGAGCGAGATGAATAAAACACACTCGTATAATAAAGCCTCTGCAGAACATTTATCCCTACGCTAATACTGTCGAATATTCCAGACAGGTGCTAATCCAAAACAGCCTGCGAGCTATTTCAGATTGTTAGCCTAACATAATAACATGCGCGCGGAAATGATTTGTTTACAACCACAACGGGGTTCGGTGATACAAGTCAATGTGAATTTTGTCCAGCTGGCGAGAAAAACAGCAGCACGCAGAGCAGACGGACCGACGGATATACCCTCCGCAGATGAGCACAGGAAGACAGTATGACAAAGGAAACAAACCCTTGAAGATGTTGGGCGAAAATCTTGCGCTTCTAAGCGATTCACGCGTTTTTTTCGGAATGCACTACATCAGAGTCGTTTCAGTACCACACGCTATCATTAAAAAGATAAAGTCCAGTGAGGAAGAGGCGCTTTTGGTAGGAAAATTACGCGCACTTAGTAAAACAGGCACAAAAGCCAAACGTCAACAGAAAAGCGAGATGGGAGGGGGAGGAAGAGGAGGGGAAGAGCGCAACGCACATTCCGGCGAAGAAAGATAAAAGTTTAAGCGCTGCTCTCAGAATGGCTGTTTTTGGCTCAGATGCCTTTATATTTTGGTGGCCATTTGGTCATTTGATGGTTGTCTTATTGATTTTACGAGCATTATTAATATGATGCTTAGGCATAAACTCATTTGTTTTGGAAATGTGAGGAAATAACGAGTTTAATGCTTAATAATTTAATTAAATTTACTTATTTATTTATTTTATTAATATTAATTAGACTTTTCTTTTTTTTTTGTCTTTTTCTTTTCTGTGTGTGTGCACGTATTGATGGTTTTGCATTTTTTGGTTTATTGTGTGCAAAATATAAAATAAAGTATCAATACACACACACACACACACATATATATATTCATATTTATATTCATATATATATATATATATATATAAATACACACACATATCATTTATGGTGTGGTACAAGCACATGCAAAATCAAATACACTCTACCAAGGCCTGCCAAACCACCAACGCGAAGAGTGTATTTCTTTAATGTATTTTACGCTGAATAATGAATTTTAGACAGAAAAAAATTAAACCGAAAAATAAAAGAGCTTATTGCCTGTCCTTTTGTCGCATCGCTAGATGGCAGTACACAGGATTTGAGCAAAGAATGTCTCATCGGCAGAAGTAAAGCCACCTTTTCCACTCGTTCCCAACTTCAGTCACGTGATTGTCCAGTAGCTCCTACTGACAAGCTTATTTCATTGTATTGCATTTTAGTTTTTATTTGTTGTTTTTTTTCAAAAATATAAATTGTATTGCTCTTCAAATATTTAGCCACAGCGGTTTGTCTGCACAAAATTCAACTTGTTCTCCTTTAACTTGCACCCGTTTGGGGTTATAACGCTAAAGTAACTATACAATATGTGGGTTTAGTAGCCATCTAGTGTGTTCATTTAAGTTATTACGATTTTTTTAATCATATATTTTATTAATTACTTTGTAAAGTAAAATATGAAATAGGCGCATTTTACTAGCTTTTATTCTTTCCATTCTTTACTGTTCTAGTTTGTGTATGTGTGTCTTTAGAACATATTCCATTTGGATGTATTCATGAAATATGTTTACAATACAGCCAATGTCAAAAAGCCCTCTTATGTCTGTAACCATAGAGAAAAGCTGTCACTGGGCCCCTAGCGACAGCCTAATAGGAACTGCAACCTGTGTTGGGCGTGTGCGCAGAGTGGGCAGGCTAGATGTCGCAGGAACTACGACAAGACGTTTTTCGCTTTCATTCACGTCAGATTGATACTCTCACACCCGGACGTAACCAACGCCTAGTCGCCGGAGAGGAACGGTAAGTAATTTTCAATCTGTAACATTATTTTATTTGACTTTTAACCTGTCAAACGGTCATTAAACAGTACACGTTTTAAGGCAGGCTTCACCGTTGTGTCATTTTGATTTAGGATGATTTGTGGCCCTCTCAGCAGTGCTAGCGCGTTAGCTTAGCCTCGCAGCATCCTGTCGCCTTCGTTACACAAAACTTTGATTTATTTCACTGCTGACAAATCTCGTCAAGATTTATTTAGTTTTCTGTAATCACCAAAAACTACACATTTCTTCGCCATTTACTATAGTATTCAATTAAGTAGATTTATCAGGCGAAGTGTTCAAACAAGCTCATTAGTGTTTTGCTTTTAAGGTACCTGGTATTCGTTTGGTTTATCGTCCCTAATTGGACTGCAAATGTAGTAATTACTAAGGATGAACATTTTAAATAAGGTCTAATTTCAAAATAAAATCATTCATTAACGGTAATGTAACTGAAACCAGGCGATATTGTTAGTGCGAGTACGACAAAGTGACAAAGTCGAGTCTTCCTCTCAGCAGCGTTAATATGCGGAAGCAAATAAGACAGGACACATTCTTGTAGATGTATTTCTCTATGCCTGCTTTTGTCTCTGAAATCAAATCACATCACTTTATTGGCAATTCTGGTAAATGCGTTCAGCCTGCCTCCTTGTGTAACAGTGGAAACAGTGGAACTGCTCAAAACACATGATTCCTGAATGGTTCACTCAAAGGTTAATTCTGAATCCCACGAGGGCCAGTACCAGTAATAACGTGATTTTCAATATCTTTGTTTCTCGCCATATAGATGCAAACCATAAAGTGTGTGGTGGTTGGAGATGGAGCTGTCGGAAAGACCTGCCTCCTCATCTCATACACAACCAACAAATTCCCTTCTGAATATGTTCCCACGGTAACGGAGTAAAGGGTGGTGGGCTCTGGGTCAGAGATTTGGTGGGAGGGGGCACAGTGATCCAGTGATTATCAATAACAATGCTAGCTATTGTGTGTGTTGTGTGCTTTGTGCTGTTTAAGACTAGGAACTCTAATGCATGTGAGTATTTCACTGGATATTTGATTTGATTGATTAGAAACATTATTAGTATTGTGGTGTGGTACAAGCACATGCAAAATCAAATACACTCTACCAAGGCCTGCCAAACCACCAACGCGAAGAGTGTATTTCTTTAATGTATTTTACGCTGAATAATGAATTTTAGACACAAAAAAATTAAACCGAAAAATAAAAGAGCTTATTGCCTGTCCTTTTGTCGCATCGCTAGATGGCAGTACACAGGATTTGAGCAAAGAATGTCTCATCGACAGAAGTAAAGCCACCTTTTCCACTCGTTCCCAACTTCAGTCACGTGATTGTCCAGTAGCTCCTACTGACAAGCTTATTTCATTGTATTGCATTTTAGTTTTTATTTGTTGTTTTTTTTCAAAAATATAAATTGTATTGCTCTTCAAATATTTAGCCACAGCGGTTTGTCTGCACAAAATTCAACTTGTTCTCCTTTAACTTGCACCCGTTTGGGGTTATAACGCTAAAGTAACTATACAATATGTGGGTTTAGTAGCCATCTAGTGTGTTCATTTAAGTTATTACGATTTTTTTAATCATATATTTTATTAATTACTTTGTAAAGTAAAATATGAAATAGGCGCATTTTACTAGCTTTTATTCTTTCCATTCTTTACTGTTCTAGTTTGTGTATGTGTGTCTTTAGAACATATTCCATTTGGATGTATTCATGAAATATGTTTACAATACAGCCAATGTCAAAAAGCCCTCTTATGTCTGTAACCATAGAGAAAAGCTGTCACTGGGCCCCTAGCGACAGCCTAATAGGAACTGCAACCTGTGTTGGGCGTGTGCGCAGAGTGGGCAGGCTAGATGTCGCAGGAACTACGACAAGACGTTTTTCGCTTTCATTCACGTCAGATTGATACTCTCACACCCGGACGTAACCAACGCCTAGTCGCCGGAGAGGAACGGTAAGTAATTTTCAATCTGTAACATTATTTTATTTGACTTTTAACCTGTCAAACGGTCATTAAACAGTACACGTTTTAAGGCAGGCTTCACCGTTGTGTCATTTTGATTTAGGATGATTTGTGGCCCTCTCAGCAGTGCTAGCGCGTTAGCTTAGCCTCGCAGCATCCTGTCGCCTTCGTTACACAAAACTTTGATTTATTTCACTGCTGACAAATCTCGTCAAGATTTATTTAGTTTTCTGTAATCACCAAAAACTACACATTTCTTCGCCATTTACTATAGTATTCAATTAAGTAGATTTATCAGGCGAAGTGTTCAAACAAGCTCATTAGTGTTTTGCTTTTAAGGTACCTGGTATTCGTTTGGTTTATCGTCCCTAATTGGACTGCAAATGTAGTAATTACTAAGGATGAACATTTTAAATAAGGTCTAATTTCAAAATAAAATCATTCATTAACGGTAATGTAACTGAAACCAGGCGATATTGTTAGTGCGAGTACGACAAAGTGACAAAGTCGAGTCTTCCTCTCAGCAGCGTTAATATGCGGAAGCAAATAAGACAGGACACATTCTTGTAGATGTATTTCTCTATGCCTGCTTTTGTCTCTGAAATCAAATCACATCACTTTATTGGCAATTCTGGTAAATGCGTTCAGCCTGCCTCCTTGTGTAACAGTGGAAACAGTGGAACTGCTCAAAACACATGATTCCTGAATGGTTCACTCAAAGGTTAATTCTGAATCCCACGAGGGCCAGTACCAGTAATAACGTGATTTTCAATATCTTTGTTTCTCGCCATATAGATGCAAACCATAAAGTGTGTGGTGGTTGGAGATGGAGCTGTCGGAAAGACCTGCCTCCTCATCTCATACACAACCAACAAATTCCCTTCTGAATATGTTCCCACGGTAACGGAGTAAAGGGTGGTGGGCTCTGGGTCAGAGATTTGGTGGGAGGGGGCACAGTGATCCAGTGATTATCAATAACAATGCTAGCTATTGTGTGTGTTGTGTGCTTTGTGCTGTTTAAGACTAGGAACTCTAATGCATGTGAGTATTTCACTGGATATTTGATTTGATTGATTAGAAACATTATTAGTATTGTATATTTAGTCTTGTCTGAACTAAAATGACATTACATTATGTGTGAATGAGATACATTTGTGTTTGTTTGCAGGTTTTTGATAACTATGCTGTCACAGTGATGATTGGAGGCGAACCGTATACACTGGGGCTTTTTGACACAGCAGGTAATGCAGTCTAGGGCTTTCTTTACACGTGACAAATCTAATTTGAATCTCCACACTGTCATTCTTCTTTTTAAGTATTTATTTTTTTGGTTGACCAGTATAATCAGTATTTAGTATAACAAGTTTGGTTACCATAATAGTGAATTAAATGTCAACATGATGCCAACAGACGTGAGACAATAGCTGTCACTATTGAAAAATTGGAAAAATGGTGCTGAACTTATGGGAAAACAAGTGACAGGCATTTTATGCATCCATTCATACTGTGTCCAGATCCGCTGACTCATTCACTATTCACTATTTAGTGAATATCTCACAGTTCGGTATATAAGAACAAGTGAGATAAAGATACAGCTTTAGACAATATTATGCATATTTTATGATGTTACGTGACAAATCTAATTTGAATCTCCACACTGTCATTCTTCTTAAGTATTTATTTTTTTGGTTGACCAGTATAATCAGTATTTAGTATAACAAGTTTGGTTACCATAATAGTGAATTAAATGTCAACATGATGCCAACAGACGTGAGACAATAGCTGTCACTATTGAAAAATTGGAAAAATGGTGCTGAACTTATGGGAAAACAAGTGACAGGCATTTTATGCATCCATTCATACTGTGTCCAGATCCGCTGACTCATTCACTATTCACTATTTAGTGAATATCTCACAGTTCGGTATATAAGAACAAGTGAGATAAAGATACAGCTTTAGACAATATTATGCATATTTTATGATGTTACATATGTGCCATGCTCTGAAGATGCTAAAAACAATTTTATATCCGACCTGCTTGTTCAGACTGAGACTCGTTAAAAAATGTTAATAGGATTTCAAATTGCATGTTGATTTACTATATACATACTGATACTACAATCTCAGTTTATAAGTGGTATAATAGGGTGGAAATCACATCTCACCTACACACAATTCCACCATCTTTGTTGATGCATTACCGTTAAGTTTTATTTTCTTTAAAGAAATAAATATTTTTATTCAGTAAGCTTGCATGTTTCAAATAAATGCTGTTCTTTTCACCTTGCTATTCAGATAATCCTGGAAAAAAAAATGTATCATGGTGTTCACAAAAATATTAAAAAGCACAACTGTTTTAAACATTAATAATTAGGGCTGAACGATTTTGGAAAATAATCTAATTGCAATTTTTTTTTTACCAATATTGCGATTGCGATTTAATATGCAATTTTTTTTGTTCTGTATTATTCAACAAAGACAAGCTATAAATCATTGTATAGTATGACCAACACACTAATACATACTGATACTACAATCTCAGTTTATAAGTGGTATAATAGGGTGGAAATCACATCTCACCTACACACAATTCCACCATCTTTGTTGATGCATTACCGTTAAGTTTTATTTTCTTTAAAGAAATAAATATTTTTATTCAGTAAGCTTGCATGTTTCAAATAAATGCTGTTCTTTTCACCTTGCTATTCAGATAATCCTGGAAAAAAAAATGTATCATGGTGTTCACAAAAATATTAAAAAGCACAACTGTTTTAAACATTAATAATTAGGGCTGAACGATTTTGAAATTTACCAATATTGCGATTGCGATTTAATATGCAATTTTTTTTGTTCTGTATTATTCAACAAAGACAAGCTATAAATCATTGTATAGTATGACCAACACACTATTAGATAGATTAAACATAAATGTTCTTTTCTGTAGGCCAGGCCTATATGTTATGATGAAATTAGGTGATGCATGAATTGATATGACATTTTTATTTAACAACTACAATCACAGTATATTGACTGATTTGTTGAACTTCCAACCTTGTAAACATGTAATAATTATGACATAAAACATAACATAAAGCACTGACAAATAAGCCTGGTGTAAACATGAATATGAAAGTCAGTAACAAATCACACAAACTAAAGTAGATTGCAGAAATATAAAAACAAATCTGTTGCTTTGGCACACTACTTTAGGTTATTCAAAGTCACTGTAATAAACATATGTAAACATGTGCACTGCACTTTTTAAACACTGTCTGTTAACTTTAGACCAGTGGTTCTCAAACTTTTTTGGTTGTGCCCCCCTCAGACTACCAAATAATTTCACTAAACATTATGAAAAATTAATGTTTTTTTAAATTTAAAAAACCTACAAGGAAAAAAACACCTGCATCACTTTAAAAAAATAGCATAGAGAGAATAACTTATTATTATTCTCTCTCTGTTATTTATTAATTTTTTGTGGGTTTCATGCTGTCCACTAAGGCATAGGACACACACAGGCTTTCCTCCTCACCTGCCTTGTTCTATTTATGTCGTACTGACACAACGTTAAAATGATTTGCAACGGTCGCTTTGTCGCATCTAGTGTAGAGCTGTTGCGGTGCGACGCGTCAACTGTGGTGTCCGGTGTAGACACAGTGAGTGAAGCCGAGAGCAAGATATGCCTCGTCATATTTTCTACATTTAGCTTTTAAATGACCAGCACCTGCCTGGGTCTGTGCAACTTCATCTATGGCTTTTCTCTTCCCTTTCACTAACCGATCCATCTCCCAGTCTAAGTTACGTCCTTTGGCTGTTTACTTATTTATTTTCTTTTTCTGCTGATGGCCCGCGCTCGACTTGAAGCAGCGCTGCTTAGACCGATGGGTGTGTGTCATCAAAGTACTGCGAGAGCTATAAGAGAGCGGATGTCTCCTCGTACTTTGATGTCATACACCGATCTGATCGTCAAGTCGAACACACCTCTTTACTCTCGCCTGTCACGTGACTGTGTAATCGCAGCCTCTGCGATTTGAAAAATCTAAATTTTTCATATCGCGATATTATTGCAAATGCGATTAATCATTCAGCCCTATTAATAATAATAAAAATGTTTTAAGTAAATATAAATTAAAATATAAAAGTTATTTTAAATGGTAATAATTCACAATATAACTGTTATTACTGTATTTTTGATCAAATAAGTGCAACCTCGGTCAGCATAAGAGACTCCTTTTCAAAACCATTTTAATATTTTATCGACACCCAACTTTTAAACATAGTCTTCATATTTTCTACATTTAGCTTTTAAATGACCAGCACCTGCCTGGGTCTGTGCAACTTCATCTATGGCTTTTCTCTTCCCTTTCACTAACCGATCCATCTCCCAGTCTAAGTTACGTCCTTTGGCTGTTTACTTATTTATTTTCTTTTTCTGCTGATGGCCCGCGCTCGACTTGAAGCAGCGCTGCTTAGACCGATGGGTGTGTGTCATCAAAGTACTGCGAGAGCTATAAGAGAGCGGATGTCTCCTCGTACTTTGATGTCATACACCGATCTGATCGTCAAGTCGAACACACCTCTTTACTCTCGCCTGTCACGTGACTGTGTAATCGCAGCCTCTGCGATTTGAAAAATCTAAATTTTTCATATCGCGATATTATTGCAAATGCGATTAATCATTCAGCCCTATTAATAATAATAAAAATGTTTTAAGTAAATATAAATTAAAATATAAAAGTTATTTTAAATGGTAATAATTCACAATATAACTGTTATTACTGTATTTTTGATCAAATAAGTGCAACCTCGGTCAGCATAAGAGACTCCTTTTCAAAACCATTTTAATATTTTATCGACACCCAACTTTTAAACATAGTCTACATTAATTTATAATTATCTCTAGCTTTTTTTAAGTTAGATTGGATTTCTCTTCAGTCTTAACTGTTGTGTTCATCTCGAGTGACTCTCAGAGCTGAAGAGAGGTGGTAATGAACTGCGTCTGTTCTTGTTTTCTCAGGTCAGGAAGACTACGACAGACTTCGGCCTCTCAGCTATCCGCAGACAGACGTCTTCCTTGTTTGCTTCTCTGTTGTTTCTCCTTCCTCCTTTGAGAATGTGAAAGAGAAGGTAGGTGTTCATCAAATGCTTTCTTCTTTCTTGCTGGTCTCACTGTTTGGGACATCAGAACATGAAAGATCCACCTTTCTCGGCCGATAATCACATTTTATGACTCGATCGGTACTCACTACACTTGGCCGATCTCACGAACCGATTGCAATTTGATGACGTCAACGCATGACGACGTACATGATGCGTGGGGACATAAATCATTTGGCGCCGCAGTCATGTCATCGCCGGTGTGGAAATTCTATGACGTTTTAAGGAACCGTGAAAAATGTGCTATTTGTCGTGTATGTTTTGCATGATAATATGATGAATGGATGGTTCATTTTTAACAGCAGATTCAGTAACGTTAGAGCTGATCTGTGCCTCAATGCACGCGTCTGCGGCACGTTACGGCTCCACGGGAACCGGAGCTGATCGCGGCCGCTCTTAATGCTTGTGTTTATACCGGCCAGCCGAGGCACGTTCTTGAAGCGGCTCTCTGCGCTGCTTGGCTAAAAATAGTCTTTTGTGAGTTGTCACAGCATGGAGGACAGAACAAAACCTCGTCAGAGCTGTAACGGATAATACGCTGATGGGCTGCTTTTAAATTAATGTTTATTTATAAAACAAAATATCTTCTTTGGCCATATTAGCCTACTCAATAGCATTAACACAGGTTTTACACCTTTCAAACTTTATCTGGAATGTCACAGTGTCTGTCAATGCAACTTCCCGATCAGGCGAACGAACACAAACACACAAAATCGTCTGCCTCATGAAAAAAATGTAGTTAATATTTGCATCATTTATGATTTATTTTTATCCACCCGCAAATAATCAGAATGCATTTTTTATTACCCGACCCAAGGATTATCCGCAGCACCCGTGGATATAGGAAAAGCAAAATATGTTTTCTGCGTAAATCAGATGGACTTACTGAAAATGCAAATTCATTCTCTGCCAACAGGAGGTGCTTTAAAGCGGGAGAAATAGAGGTTTCCCCTGTAACGGCTGTACACAAATCAGCGCTGAGCTCACAAACGCTGCTTTATCAGTAGGGATGGGTACCGAAACCCGGTATTTAATCAGTCCCGGGGCTAAATTATGAAAGACCGGAGTATCGATAAGCTCTGACGTTAACGGTTCTGCTATCGGTACTGAAGAAATTAAGAAAACACACATACATTTATTATTGCGATAGATACATTGTCTGGCAAATTCTATCTCACCAGAGTCGCCAGCTGTTTTTATATGCATTAATATTCAAACATTTGTCTATGATGCATTTTTGCTATTCGCAACTCAGAAGCGAGATCGCGCTCGTGCAGAGGAGCTTCAACACGCGCAACATGAAATGCCTGCTTAATTATGATAGAGGAGAGAACTAAACATTCAAACATCTGCTTACACTTTAGGCCTGTGCCTGTTTTATGCTATTTACATTTTTTTATTAGATTTTGGCTTATAAGGATTATAGCCGCGTTTCTTCTAGCGCAACTTTTTTCCCTTCATTCATTCGCATTCATTCCTCCCTAAAACCCAAACTTAAAAGTCAGAATCAGCACAATCGGTGATTGTTGAAAAAAGGCCGTCTTATTTTATACTGTTGCTAAATTGCGGGACATGTTTGATAATAAAACCTTGAAAGCACAGTCCGCACAAGAGACGCTGTTCCTCATGCTGAAATGTGTGCAACCGACGCGCTCCAAAATGGACCATCTATTTACACTTTGAGCTTCAGGCGCGTCCAAACGATGAAATACACACAAAATATGGCCGGCTTGGAGAGGATTTACTTAAACACATTTTATGTCTTAAGTGGACGAGAACAGTTAGGAGAAAATCCAATATGTGTCAATATATTGTCTTAAAGTGACAGACTGTCACTTGGGCCATCAGTTAATCAAACAACAAAATGCAAAGACAAAATCACTCACAGCTCTTAATCTGAATTACGTTATAGCTTTAATAAGTATTAATCTATCAATACATACAGTGAAAATTGTAATTACTTAACTTACTTGTAATACTTAATTACTTACGTGAACAGTAATGTTAGTAGACCTTCATGGAAAATAAAAGCACTGTTTATTTCATTTAATTTGTATATTTGTTTTATTGTATTTGTCAGTTTGTATGGAATAGAAGTTTCATTGCCATAACTGTGTTTTTAAGTTTGTTGGGTTGTTTGTTCTGTTTGTGCTATGAGTAGCTTTCTAGGCACTGTCTTACCACTCCTTTTTCTCCTCTCTCTTTCTTTAAGTGGGTACCAGAGATCTCTCACCACTGTCCACGCACTCCGTTCCTTCTGGTGGGTACTCAGGTTGACCTGAGGGATGACAGTAACACTGTGGAAAAACTTGCCAAAAACAAGCAGCGCCCCATATCGCCTGAGAGTGGGGAGAAGCTGGCCAGAGACCTCAGAGCTGTCAAATACGTGGAGTGCTCCGCCCTCACACAGGTAAAAAGAGCAGCCGCACACACCCGCATGTCACCCACATGACCCACTGCAAATTACATTTTACGATCTCTTTCTTACAGAGAGGCCTGAAGAATGTATTCGACGAGGCGATACTCGCTGCCCTTGAACCTCCAGAGACCAAACCCAAGAAGCGCTGCGTCCTTTTGTAGGAACACAAGCAGTGGTGTGATGCACTCACTCCAACAAGAGAGGCAGAGAAAAAGAAACATTCTGGTGGGGTTTGGAGTGGAGAGAGTTATAATTGGGAAAAATTATAGGAACAAAACAGCAAAAAAAAAAACCTATCTGCCTTTCTAAATGTTTCTAGAACAACAGAAGAAATTAGAGAACCCTGGAACCAGTAACACCCCCTACAAACAAAGAGTATAATGACAAAAAAAAAGAGAGAAAAGATATAGGCGCACTTTACGCATGTGATGTCTTACAGAGCAACATATAGATCCAATTTAATGCTTTAAGTGTCAGTTACATGTAATCGATCCCAAAAAAGTGTGACAGTGGCACAAATACATGAGATTAAATGCTTCAGGTTTCTGATCGGCATCCAAAATGATTTTTTGAAATGCTTTAGCTGGACAAACGCCGGGTTTTTCTCTGACATGCTTTGCTGTAAGCTGCACAAGAATGGTTAGCACACAATGTCTATAAACAGCAAATTTCATAAAGTGTAAAGCCGAACATGCTGACTGCTCTGATGAGCACTTCTGCAGGGCTCAGCTGTTTGCTCTGTAACCTGTGGATAGTGTGTGCAGAAGCTGATTTCTGCTTTCTTAAATCTCCTCAGTTGAGCATTTTCACAGCGTCACAAAATTGCAATGGGCACAAAAGCGATTCTTGAAATTCTTGCGTTTTTGCCAGTTATAGACGCTGGATTCGCATGACAACTGTAGGCAGGTTCAGTGCTATATGTGGTTCATATACTGTTAATAATATGTACTGGACTGGATCTGGCACAAAAGCAAGCTAACGTGATTGGTTTGGGCATATAATTAGCTCTAATCACTGACAATGGCATTGAAACAGAACATATATAAAATAAACAATAACAGTTTTAGATATTTTTACAATTTTAATGTTGGATCAGAGTGTTATGGCCATA